AGAGTCAGATGCTCAACCAACTGAGCTACCTAGGCGCTCCTCTGTGGCACAAACATTTAAAAATAATAACTAGAATCTTGACTTACAATATTATACAAGACCAACATGGACAGTGAGGGTATTGACAAATTTCTACGATGTTGATGTGACTTCTAAAATACTTGTATAATAATATTTATCCATATAAATATAACCTGGTGAAGGTTAAGACAGTTCTTATTTGGCAATCTCTTTTTATGTAATTCAACATATCAAATAAATGAATTAGTTTAGCTTCTCCTTTTTACAATGTGAAAGAATAGATCCTTTGAGATTTTTCAAGAATACTCTGGGAAATCTCAAGGTCAGTTTGAGAACAAGAAGACTTAATTTAGAATTTGATTTGAGGAAGTTGTCAAACATGTCAAAGGTTTGAACACTTGATTAAATAGGATTATAGATTACTATGAATCAATCATTAGGTTCCTTAAATATTTGAAGACATATAAAGATTAACATATAGTCCAGAAAATGATTTGGATAAGACACAAAATCTTAGATTTTAGGCAGTTTACTTAAGTAAGGCAAAGAAAAACCTTTTTTAATCTATTAAGAGCAGGCCAAGAGTAAAAGAAAACTTTGTTATCTTAACTGAGAGAAAAAGAACTCTAGTTTTTTATCACCATGTTATCAAATTCATTTTTTTAAGCCATATACATAAATCCACCCAATCTTCGCCAGCTTTGACTAGATGAGGTAAGATTACTTTTCTAAGACTCTTTCCCTGATATCCTTATCCTATATTTTCCTCTTTCTGGAACAAACCATTAGTAACCATTTTTTTTTTTCTTTACAGTGAACTCTAGGAAGTAGATAACTGTGCAATGTCTGTCACACACTGGGATTCCATAGCAAATTTGTAATTTTATGAATATAGCCATCCCATAATTTTTATAGGTATATGCTTCCCCATGGTACAATTTTTCAAGGTGTCAAAGGAACATTTATTAACACAACCATATAAAAATATAAAAAAATAGAGTCTCCTTGGTGACTGAGTTTGTTGAGCATCAGACTCTTGATTTCCACTCAGGTCATGATCCCAAGGTCATTGGATCCAGCCCTGCATTAGGCTCTGTGCTGAGCATGAGCCTGTTTAGGATTCTCTCTTTCCCTCTGCCCTTCCCCTGCTTGTGTGTGCACATCTCTCTCTTTCTCTTTCAAGAAAATAAAGAAAAAATTTAAAAAATATAAAAATAAGAAGCATTAAACTTATACTTACCAGTGTTTTAGTAGTTTATCTTACTTAGAAATGATCTAAATACTTAGTGAATATTTGTTGTTGAACTTAAATTAGCAGATGTTCCAAGTTACCAAAAAAGACACATATATATATTCTTTAAGTTTATTTATTTTGAGAGAGAGAAAGTATGACTGGGAGAGGGGCAGAGAGAGAGAGAGAGAGAGAGAGGGAGAGAGAGAATCCCAAGCAGACTCTCACTATCAGTAGAGAGCCATACACAGGACTTGAACCTATGAACCATGAGATTGGGACCTGAGCAGAAGTCGGATGCTTAACCAACTAAAACACCCAGGTGGCCCCCACACACATACTATTAAACAAAGGTAATCATCAGTTCAAGTTATTTCCTTGTTAACTACTTTGCAGAACATGCACTTTAGGCAAGTATCAGAAAAGCAAAGAACCTTAAAAACCTAATTACAAAATTCACATTTATATGATACTTAATACTAGCATATAACTCAGAGGATATAGCTGTTTTAATTCAACCAATAATACTAAACTACTCCTATTTACCAAAGATTTTTCCAAGTCACATGAACTTTAAAAGTATTTGAGTTCAATTCTATGTTTCTGAGAGTTTTAGCAACATTTAATTTATATCAGAGCTTATTTATCTCTAAGCTAATTTGAACAGAACTCTATTCCTTTAAAGGATTTTATAACTTAATTTGGTAATACCATTCAGAAGTAGAAAAAGTTTACATATATATAACATACATGCATAAATATGCATACAGACAGGTTCAAAGATCATTCTTCTTTTTTCTAAAATTTTAACCATATGTCAGAAAAACATATGAATAGACTCCCATCCTTGCTCTTCTTCGATGTGTATCTGAATTGTGTTTAGAGCAAATGAAAGAAGTTAAGATTACCTGTTCAATATGAATGCTAAAGCTTTTTATCAATATTTATTGAAGAGACTTTTTAAGATTTTGTTTTGCCCTAATATTTAAACTGTTGGAGGTTGTGGATTGTGTTTTAGGTGAGAGGCTGAGGGGACATCTAACAGATAGCTATCTGAATATTTCCAAAGACCATATGAATGGATAAAATATTCAGTATGTTCCTAATTAGCTCTATGTGTTTGTTTCTTTGTTTGTTTGTTTTTGAGAGAGAGAGAGAGAAACAGCACAAGCAGGGAAGGGGCAAAGAGAGAAAGAGACAGAATCTGAAGCAGGCTCCAGGCTCTGATTTGTCAGCACAGAGCCCGACACTGGGCTCAAACTTAAGAACTGTGAGATCATGTCTTGAGCGGACGCCGGAAGCTTAATCGACTGAGCCACCCAAGCGCCCCTGTTTGTTTATTTCAATTTCACCTCAGGTGTAATAAGAAAACAAAAAACAAAAAACAAAAAAACAGTGTGTCTGATACCAAGTTACTTATCTTGCCCTTGCCTCTGTGACCTAGAGCTTAGAAATTTCTGCTTAGTCCTGCAGGTAAGCATGTTAACCGTTGAAGGAATTTTGCTTCCAGTTAAGATTTGCAAAAAACATTTTTTTACCCCAAACCTACCTTACCTGAAGAGATAAGGAAGTACCTACAGAAATGATTATGCTATGTTTAAGGTTTATAGGGAAGACGTGACCAGATGCCTGCATGAAAAGATTAACCAAGGACAAAGAAGTTACATGACTTTCCTCTGATGTCTGCCAATGTCAGTCGCTTTTGACTCCAACTCCCTCCCACTTCTCCCTTTACTAACATAAAAGAAGTTTGAATTTCATGCCAAGGGGGTTGGTTCCATAGGACAATAGTCTACCATCTCCTCAGTGTTCTGGCCCCTACCGTCTCCTCATTTTTTTGGCCCCTAATAAAGTTGCTTTCTATGCCCTGACATCTTGCCTGTCACTGTATCGCCCTGCCCTTCGGTGAGCAGAATGAGCTTGGACTCGGTTGCACAGGCAGTTGCTTTTAGGGGTTCCTGAGTTCCTTAAGAGACTGATGGGGGCAGGGTTCCCAAAATTCAAGTAACTGAGGCCTGGAATGGAAGGGGAAAGTCTGGCAAGGGTAGACAAGAGGGATGCAGGAGGACATATGAATAGGATTCAAGGGAACTGAATGGAAGATCAAAGGTGGAGAAAGGAGGAAGGAAGAATAGAAGCAATGGGAAGGGAGAGATGTCTTAGGGAGCGCCAGTGTGGGGGAGATCTAGGTTTCCCAAAGAAGCTGGTGAATTTCCACATTATTATTCATAAAGTCATGAATTAAGAAAGGAAGAAGACAGGGGTGCCTGGAGGGCTCAATCATTTATGTGTCCAGCTCTTGATTCTGTCTCAGATTGGGATCTCGAGGTTCATGAGATCAAGTCTTGCATTGTGCTCTGCACTGACAGCATGGAGCCTGCTTGAGATTTGCTTTCTCCCTCTCTCTCTGCCCCTCCCATGTATACACACTCACTTGTGCACGCTCTCTCTCTTTATTTAAATTATTTATTTATAATAATTTTATTAAATTTATTTATTAAATAATAATTTAAATAAACATTTTTAAAAAGGAGGAAGAAGACAGTGTTTGGTGGAGCATATAATCAGCATGGTTATATTTTGAAGTTTCACTTAATTGAGAAGTTCCTATGAGGAAACAGGATCAAATATAGAGAACAGAGAGGATTCACAGAGAGTGAGGAAGATTTTTCTAGACCAGGATTTAGAGAATGAATTCCCACATGAAGCAATGAGTCAAGAAGAATTTTCTAGCTTAGAGAGTCAGGGAGTGAATTCTAACTTGAAACAATGATCGAGGGGGGAAAAAAAGTTTCCAGCCCAGGAGTCAGGGAGTAGAATCTCCACAGGACATACACAGCCAGGAAGAAAAGCTTCTAGCCCAGGAGGTACCTTTCAAACAAAGAAGCCCAGCCCTCTAATTCATCTTCAGAGAGTATATTCAGAATCTTAAGAATCAAAATCTGTGCTTCATTGGGCTGTCATCCAGAACACTGTCTTAGGAGTCAGACTCACCAGTAGATCTTTGATCAATCAGCCAGTAATGAAGACAAGGCTTCAAAGGTGTGCACTTGAGGTCCTGGATGAGAAGTCCAGGAATCCAATGACAAATCCGGTCCTGTCTGAGTAATAGCACTCAAACTGTTCAAGAAAACCAGAGCTGGACAGTAAGATGGTAGAGACAGAATCTATCCAGAATCTATTGTAATAGGGCAGAAGAGAGCTAGTACAGAACTTGGCTCCATTTGGAATGAAACATGGACCAGATGATTCATTGACAGAACAGGGTGGGAGTCAGTGGATAGAAAATTACTAAGAGAAAACATCAGGAGTGAGGTGTGGATCCTGTTCAAATATACCTAATAGGATTCTTGGTGAAGGTAGGCCAGGATGGTCAGCTAATCAACTAATTATCACCAGAGGGATTGGATAGATGAGAAACATGATTAAACAAGACAGCAAAGGTGGGGGATTCCGCTTAAACTCTCTTAGCAGGATTTTTGCTAAACAGGCCAATATAGGTCTGACAAGGACCTGTGACCAGGTCAAGGTCTAGAAGCCTTAAGAAGAGCCAGACTAAAATCACAGAGGGGTCATGTTAATCTCTAACTAGTTGAAAAACCACTTTTGAAAAATGCCCTGCTCTCAGTAAATAATAAATCAAATAATAGTGTATCCCATGCATAGAAGGGATTAGTAAACATCTTTCCACAACCCTCAACATTCACCATGTCCTTATTCCTATTGCCATTATAATGATTTTCCATAGCTTCAACCCACTGAAGAAAGGAACATACACAGAAGAGGAAAACATGGTGACTGAAATAACACAGACTATGCATGAGGTGAAATCATTACAATCTGGAATTATCAAGCTTGAAAAAGGAGAACTAACTTGGGAGACTTACAGTGCTAGATGTCAAGACTCATTATAAAACTGCAGTGTTTTAGAACTTGTGGTATTGGTACAAGTTTAAATGAATAGACAAAAGAAACAGGATAACAAAAATCAAAATGGATAATACCCTGCCCAGAAACGGGTCCAGCTATATATATGGTCAACTGATTAGTGACAAAACTATCACTGCAATGTGAGAAAAGACGGTCTTTTCAATATGTGGTTATGAGTCATTCAGATACCTATCTGAGAAAAAAATTCCTGTTCAGTTTCCAATGATTTGTAGGCCTAAATGTAAAATGCAAAACAATAAAGTTTCTAGAAGAATATTCTGAATTTAGGATGAGTAAAGATTTTTGAAATAGGATACTGATAGAGTTCCATATTTTATCTGGGTTGTTGGTTACATAGGTATAATAACATTAAAATAATGTGCAAAGTGTACAGTGTGACCTGTAGGTACTTTATACTTTGAAATAAGTTCACAAAAATTTAACAAGAGTGGAGCTTTTCAGTGAAGGGCTTCTAGTATTGAAATCTCACTTAACTCATTTGCTTATAATTAGAGCCCTAGGGCAATAATTACTGCCATAATAATTACATATTAACATGGTACTTAGGAGAGGTAATTATTTTTGTTTTCAGTCTGTTGTTACAATAGCCATATCATTGTAAGTTAAACATCTAGATAATTTGTCTCTCACTCACTCCTGTTTCTCCTTCAAAGCCAACTTAGCTGTATCCATCTCTTGTGCCTTCTTCTAAGCTTCCTCTGATATTTCTGAGAGTAATACTTTGAATGATTCAAGTGCATGTGGATATTGTCAGAGAAAATACAAATTCAAAATAAGATGCTTAACTCTTCCTATTGAAAATAAGGGAAGAGACTTCCCTTCTGCCCTTTCCCTAGATCATTTGCTTTGGAAAACATATAATTGTAAGTGTTTTCTTTGTCTTTGGAAATGAATGTAAATCCCCTTAAAAGCTAAACAAGACTTTTGCCAGCATCGTGACCCAAGCATGTCTTTTTCAAATCTCTCAGAATCATGTATTTAAAGGCGATCACAGACAATAGTGCTCCATTGCTGTGTTTCCATGAGAGGATAGGAGCTTAAATTTATGGGCGCCTTACTCTAAATAAAACTAGTTCCTGTCATAAAGAAATGCCTTTACCTTTCCTATGGATTAGCTAACACAGATTGTCACCCAATTACCTGGTGAATTTAGGATGAACTATGTGTGACAGGTGATGCTGGCGAGTCCTCTTACCTAAGGACTAGTTATAATTTATCTTGAAAACATGCATGTGATGGGCTGCATATGCTTATCTGTTTAAAGGGTGAGATTTATTTGTCTTTGTAATCTCTAGCAGATTGCCAGTGATGTAGATCACATCCTACTTTAATGTTTATTCAATGATACAACTGTTTCTTCCTCTTCTACTTCTGCAGAGGTTATCAGGGGTGGGAGAAGATTTAGTTTTTAGTTGACTTACCAAACAACACATATCAACCAAATCATTCATTTGATAACTATTTGTCCTTTATTTTAAACTATCAACCAATGTGAAATAAGTATTTTTTGAGGTAGGAGTCAAATATCACTCTAAACTCCATAGTCAAATACCATATATACATTGAAAGTTATAACATGAATTTTTCAAGTACATCACTTTGAAGGATACAAGGAACATTATATTCATAACTGTTATATTCATTATATTCTGAGATTTCAAATTTTATTGGACTTTATGAACTGTTGAATTATGAAACATTGAAGTATTGGTATCAAGAGCATCATTAACATGATATTCAGTTAGAAAAAGGCAAACTTTGCTTTTAGGTAGATGAATTATGTTATTTTGAAAAATATATGTTTTTCAGGATTATGTTATGAATTGCTTTTTCAAATAAACTTTGTTTTAGAATAGTTTGGCTTACTAGTGGCTTGGAAAATTTTTGAAGATAATACAAAGAGTGTCCACATACTACACACCCTGTCTCCTCAATTATTGTACTATTATATGATGCATTTGTCATAATTAATGTACCAACAATGATACATTATTATTTTAAGTTTTATTTATGTATTTTGAAATACAGCAAGTATGGGAGAGGAGTAGGGAGAGAGAGAGAGAGAGAGAGAGAGAGAGAGAGAGAGAGAGAATCCCAGTGCAAAGTGTGATGTGGGCCTCAAACCCACGAACCTCAAGATCATGACCTGAACTGAAATTAAGAGTTGGACACTTAACTGACTAAACCACCCAGGTGCTGCTGTATATTATTTTTAAGTCCATACTTTATTCAGGAATTCTTAGATTTTAACTAATGTCTTTTTTCTGATCCAGGATACCACATAAACTTTAATTGCCATGTCTCCTTGGGCAACTCTTAGCTATACAGTGAATTACTTTTTATTGTTTTTGTATGTTTTTTAAAAAAATTGTAGAATCACTTTCATTTTGTCCCTATGAACATAAAGGAAGTCAAATCCGGTATTGAGGCATCATTCCCATGGACCAAATGTTTCTGTCCCTGCAGATTCTTCTGTTGGAGGCCAATCCGCAACCTGATGCTATTTGGAGGTGGGGCATTTGGTACGCAATTGCCTTTGGATGAGGTCATGGGTGGGGTGGGGTCCCCATAATGGGATTAGGATTGTAATAGGATTATAGAGAGTGCCCAGAACTCTCTCACTCCACCGTGTGAGAACACAGCAGGAAGATTACCATCTATGACTCAGGAAGAAGGCTTTCACCAGATATTAAATCTGGCATCTTGATCTTGGACTTCACAGCCTCCTGCATGGGGGAGGCAAATGTTTCTTGTTTAAGCCACCTAGTCTATGGTGTTTTTGTCATAGCAGCCCTAACTGATGAAGACAATTATCCATTCTTTTTTTACATGGTGTGTAAGATGTCTTTACTTCAGAATAAATTGTTAATTTTGAAAAGTGGCATCTGCTACATTGTAGCTATTCAATATATATTAAACAGCCACAAAAATATGAGAATTGAGATAAATTTTTATTTTGGTAGAAATACCATTTTAATAAGGCATGAATATTTTGTACTCTTTCTTTGGTAATAATTAAATTCATAGCATTATTATTTTAGATGTATACATCCCAAACCAAATTGACTTATAATGACTGTTGTGTAATTATAAGTGCTGTTTCATTGCAGCATTCCAATTACTTCTAACCGGGAGTCTGGTTACTAAAGTATATATATTTCGTTCATGATCTACATAATTACATTATTAACCCTGATAGTAAAATACTCGTTGAGCTAAGCATAATCTTTAGCTAGAAAAGCACTGAAGTGGATTTTTACTTGCAATATTTCTCTAGTAAATGATTTAAGATATATTTAAGATTTGGACATGAAGGCTTTGTCCTTACTGAAATACAATTAAAGTCTATATTTGTTTCATAGTGTTTCCTCTGAAAATACAACACTCTGACTGTTAGAAATGTTAGACATAGACTCGCCATCACATGCAAGGCGGAGCAAAGACAAGATTCCAGAATGTGCCACTTTGGCATGTGGATTGTTTCCAGCTGAGGACAAAACCCAACAGACTGAAGAGTTTTTTGTCTCCCCCTTAACTGCCTGCAAACTTATAGACAGCCTATACCAAAAGAGAGCTAACACCAATGATAATTTTTTATATCAGAAAGAGTTACTTGTAGGGCTGGACAAATATTTGTTTACCAAACATCTGCTTGTCTCATTTTCCTGATATTTGGCTTCCTCTTCTTTGACACCCCAAACTTGTATCCCCTTCTCCTTGGATGAGAATGTTACATCAGCGTCAATTACCCGACTGCCAGGGACCCTCTCATGTCTTTGTGAGGCTTTTGAATATACAATATTAAATTTGTTTTTCCCTGTTAATCTGTGCATGTCAATATAACTATTATAGCAGCCAGAGAACCTAGAAGGGAAAAGGTTTTCTCACATACACATATCTGATGTGCTTCCTTATATGTCCCTTGTGGGTAGGCTGAACGATATCACTAATTTTGGCCAAGGAACTATGAGTGGAAGGATGGAAATATATAGTACTATTGATTAATTAGTCTGCTTTGTATGTGGCTCTATTATACAGGCATTACATAGTAGAAAATAATTACAGAATCTCAAAAAGTATAATCTTTTTATGCTATTATGTGGTTCTACTAGATAGATAGACATAACAGATTTTGGAAAATAATTGCATATTTTCCAAAATGGTAGTTTACCAGTGTTATTAGACTAGACTGGACTTATGCTGTGGTTTTGTGGTAATAAATTAACCAAGAGATCACAGTCACACAACAGAGTGCAGGTTCGTTTGTTGCCAGTGTAAAGTAGGATGTGGTTTTGCAGTTTCCCTCCTTAAAGCTACTCCATCCAAAAAACATGGCCTTAAGGCTCTCTGTAGGAAAATAAGGGTAACTTATAACTAGTAACTAGTACTTATACTAGTAACTAGTAACTGCCTCAGTGTGGAAGATATGCATCTTCCCCCTACAGATATGTTTGATATTTAAGAGCCTTTCATTAGGACACTAATACCAGTTATAAGAGCATATTATGTTAGGAAATCCTGAGGGTGAATATGTACACTGAAGAGAATCTGAAGTGGGGTCATCTAGATGTTTTTTAATGTTTATTTATTATTTTTGAGAGACAGAGTGTGAGCAGGGAAGGAACAGAAAGAGAAGGAGACACAGAATCCAAAGCAGGCTCCAGGCTCTGAGCTGTCATCACAGAGCCTGATGCAGGGCTTGAACTCCTAGACCGCAAGATCATGACTTGAACCGACGTCAGACGCTTAACCGACTGAGCCATCCAGGTGCCCCTAAAGTGGAGTCATCTACCAATCACTCAAAACTTAGACCGAATGCCTTAAATACCATCCACTCTGCTTAATTTGTCTGTGGTCTTTGGACAACCTTACCTGTCTTAGACTGAGTTTTTTCATCTACAATAATATCTAATTAATACTGTTGTTCTAAGAAATATGTCAT